CTTGAATTTTTCATTTTTGAAACCCAAAAATTTAATATACACTTTTAAAAAAAAAAAAGCATATTTTAACAATCATATTTTATACAATCATAGAAAAAGTATAGTTTACAATCATGAGTTTTAGGGTTTGAAAATAAAATATTGACTTGGGAATGCGAAAACAACTCTCTGTGCCCAGTGGACTAGGGCGTAATTGAGGGGGTTTTTTTTGTATTTTTTACAACGCAGTGGGAAATTGTTTTTAAGCCCATATTTGTGGCATAGCCTGGGTGTGCATGAGAAAGCACCCAATTTGGAGTAAAGGTATTTACTGACATTTCATTTAAATCCTGTACAACTATAACCCCTATAAACCAAAACTTCAGTTCTTTTTCAAGCAAGTATGATGGAGCCTCTACCATAAATGTAATGTAATACCTGCTTTTGTTGTGTGTGGTGTGGGTGCCGATGTCAGGCAGGAGAAGTTGTCAGTATCTACACGTGCATCAGAGTACTATAGTCAACTTTGGCACTGGTTCCACAGTGTTTTTCGTAAAGCCGACATCGCAGTGGATCGACCCAGTGTGACGACGCAGCGGAGAATCGCTTTATTCAGCTTCATCACTCAACATTGTAAGGTCTAGTCCACCTGGGCAAAATAACGTTTATCCCAGAAAATTTGGTTGATGAAGCTTTGCTGCACAGTGGTGGAGGTGTAATGGTATGGGGAATGATCAGTTACAATGGAAAGAGTCATTAGGGGCACACTGAAGGAAGCCTGAATGTGCAACGATACGTCAATGAAATTCTTAAACCACTTGTCCTTCCATTTTGGGATGCCAACAGATATCTTTTTGAACAGGATGCTAGATTCCATTCTGCATGGTTGACCACGCAGTTGCTGGCTGCCAATAACCTTCAAAAACTTCCCTGCTTGCAGACATGATTCTGATTGAACACCTGTGGGATGAGCTGCAAAGATGTGTTTGTTGCCAAAACGTTGCTCCAGCCAGTGGTCAGTTCCAGGCACTCCAGGAAGAGTGGGCAGCCATCCCACAGGCCCCTATCAGAATCTGATCGCACCCCTGCCCAGGAGATGCCAGTCATTGATTCACGAAAGAGGAGGCCACACACCAAACTAACAGGAAAGGTGTGTACGCCTAAAAATTAACGTGACCCAATGGTTGACAGACGAAGCGAAGGCATGGAGAAATGTCAGTGGAACTGATTCAAAACACCAAAGACCAAGATCTGTAGAGAGGCATGAGCACCAATGTCGGCTGAGAGCACCCATGTCGGCTGTGAGCACCCATGTCGGCTGTGAGCACCTATGTCGCCTGTGAGCACCTATGTCGCCTGTGAGCACCTATGTCGGCTGTGAGCACCAATGTCGGCTGTGAGCACCTATGTCGGCTGTGAGCACCAATGTCGGCTGTGAGCACCTATGTCGCCTGTGAGCACCTATGTCGGCTGTGAGCACCAATGTCGGCTGAGAGCACCCATGTCGCCTGTGAGCACCTATGTCGGCTGTGAGCACCCATGTCGCCTGTGAGTATCTATGTCGGCTGTGAGTATCTATGTCGCCTGTGAGTATCTATGTCGCCTGTGAGCACCCATGTCGCCTGTGAGCACCTATGTCGGCTGTGAGCACCCATGTCGCCTGTGAGTATCTATGTCGCCTGTGAGCACCTATGTCGGCTGTGAGCACCCATGTCGCCTGTGAGTATCTATGTCGCCTGTGAGTATCTATGTCGCCTGTAAGTATCTATGTCGCCTGTGAGCACCTATGTCGCCTGTGAGTATCTATGTCGCCTGTGAGTATCTATGTCGCCTGTGAGCACCCATGTCGCCTGTGAGCACCCATGTCGCCTGTGAGCACCCATGTCTCCTGTGAGCACCCATGTCGCCTGTGAGCACCCATGTCGCCTGTGAGCACCTATGTCGGCTGTGAGCACCCATGTCGCCTGTGAGTATCTATGTCGCCTGTGAGCACCCATGTCGCCTGTGAGTATCTATGTCGCCTGTGAGCACCTATGTCGCCTGTGAGTATCTATGTCGCCTGTGAGCACCTATGTCGGCTGTGAGCACCCATGTCGCCTGTGAGTATCTATGTCGCCTGTGAGCACCTATGTCGCCTGTGAGTATCTATGTCGCCTGTGAGCACCTATGTCGGCTGTGAGCACCCATGTCGCCTGTGAGTATCTATGTCGCCTGTGAGCACCTATGTCGCCTGTGAGTATCTATGTCGCCTGTGAGCACCCATGTCGCCTGTGAGCACCCATGTCGCCTGTGAGCACCCATGTCGCCTGTGAGCACCCATGTCGCCTGTGAGCACCCATGTCGCCTGTGAGTATCTATGTCGCCTGTGAGCACCCATGTCGCCTGTGAGCACCCATGTCGCCTGTGAGCACCCATGTCGCCTGTGAGCACCCATGTCGCCTGTGAGCACCCATGTCGCCTGTGAGCACCCATGTCGCCTGTGAGTATCTATGTCGCCTGTGAGCACCCATGTCGCCTGTGAGCACCCATGTCGCCTGTGAGCACCCATGTCGCCTGTGAGTATCTATGTCGCCTGTGAGCACCTATGTCGCCTGGCAGGGCAGAGGATCATATGTGAATAAATGGTTAGATGTTAGTTTCAGTGCCCTTGAAGGAAGTGCAGTAATACAGCTTTTCAAACAATCATAAAACACAAATTAGTTTGATCATCAGAAGGCTGGAAGTATGCTGATGGAAACAAGTATATAATATATTCTAAGGTAAAGAAAACAATTTGTGTGAAAGACGTGATTAAAGAACCAAAAAAAAATTGTATCTGAAATAATTATGAACTTTTTTTAAAAATCTGCCTCAGTCTTTGACATACTAACTTATTTATCCATCTAGATAAAAGACAACTGCTGTGTGAAAGACCTAAATGTAAGTTAGGTCTGCACGCCCAGTTTAAGACCCATTAAAAAAAAATATGTTTTTCGTTATCATCATACCCATACGTGCCTGAGTTATAAACCAGAAGAGCTGAACAAGATATCATAAGGGTAAAGTACACAACAATATAAGTGTTTCTTGGTGAATAAAAGAATAAAATCATGACAGAACTTACCTCCACTTCTAAAGCCTTCTCTTCTGTCACAAAATGGTTACTTGTGGTCTGAAATCAATCAAAGCCAAAAATGAGTGAAAACAGAAGCAGACAGTTCAGGAGACGACATTAATTTCATCTGGATTTAACATCTGTGGTTTTCTTCTTCTGTTTTTGCCTTTAATAGGGAGGTCGGCACATTGTGGTTTACAGCTAAGCTGCGATGTCTCAGCATTTTGGCCCAATACATCCGATTTCAGCAGACCACTAACTAGTCCTTTCATGACATGCTCTCTGTGTGGCCCCGGCCCCTGTGTGTGGCCCCAGCTCTCTGTGGCCCCGGCCCCTGTGTGTGGTCCCGGCTCTGTGTGGCCCCGGCCCCTCTGTGTGGCCCCGGCCCCTCTGTGTGGCCCCGCCCGTGTGTGTGGCCCCGCCCGTGTGTGTGGCCCTGGCCTCTGTGTGTGGTACCGGCTCTGTGTGGCCCCGGCCCCTGTGTGTGGCCCTGGCCAGTGTGTGGTCCTGGCCCATGTGTGGTCCTGGCCCCTGTGTGTGGCCCCGGTCCCTCTGTGTGGCCCTGGCCCCTGTGTGGCCCCCGCCCCTGTGTGTGGCCCCAGCCCCTCTGTGTGGTACCAGCTCTGCGTGGCCCCGGCCCCTCTGTGTGGCCCTAGCCCCTGTGTG